GGGAGGGAGGAGNGGGTGGGGGGGAGGGAGGAGGGGGTGGGGAGGGAGGTCAGGCAGTCTCAGGTCAGGCAGGTCAGGTGCGTGGCTTGCGATCCTGAGGACGCAACGGTGGTGGTGGTGGTGGTGGTGGTGGTGGTGAAGCTGGTTTGCTACTGCCGATGGTGTTTTTTGTGCAGGTGCGGGCCGCCGCCTACACCGCCATCAGCCGCTACCCTCTTGACCTGCTGGAGAGGCTGCAGATCCTGCGGCCTCTGAGCCTCTACACGGCACCGCTGCTTAGTGAGAGTGACCCACGGGTCGGAGAGGCGGCCAGGGAGATGGCCGCTGTGGCGCTGCGCTTCGAGCACGCCAACCGCCGCAGGTCCGTGTGTGGCCTCCGGGGGCACCGGGCAGTGGGGGGGACTGGGGCTGCCTCTCCCGGGGTGAAGGGCGGACGGGGAAAACACAAACGACACTCCGAAACCACTGCGGCGCTATCAGGTCGATAAAGCCATCTGGGTTTGCCGAATGGAAGGGAACCCTCCTCACCACTCTTTTCGGAGAGCTTCGTGGGGCTGGGGTGTGCGTGTGTGTGTAGGTGTGTATGTATGTGTATGTGTGTATGTATGTGTGATACGGGGAGGGGGTTCACCGGTGGCGTCTGGAAGGCCCTCAGCCTCCCGACAGCATCTCCCGGCGGCGGCGGTGGGTGCAGGGCAGGGCACCTGGGGCGATTAATAAGATGTGGTCGCACATGAGGCCGTGAGGGCGCTCCTCTGGGTCAGGAGGGCATTATGCGCGCTAGGGGGCCATGGCGCAGTGAGCTGCTGCCGCCCAGCCGAGTGGCATGCTGGCGGGGTCGAGTCACGGCAGCTACGGCCACTGCTTGGGCAAGTCTGGTCCTCTCACGCTCCTCGCAGCTCTCTTGCAGTCGTACATGTCATCATCATGTGTGTACGGCGCATGTACGGTGGTCCCTTGTGTTCCGCAGGCTTCTCCTGACGCAGCCCATGACGGATGCCGTACAACAGCCGGATACCGCCAGCGCCGCAGCCGCGGACGGTACAGACCCAGCTGACGGCAGTGGTCGTGCTGGGGGTACGAGCAAGGGCACCGCGTTCGCCGCCGCCGCCGCCGCGCGGGAGGCTCGGGCGCTGCGCGGACGGCTGTTGGGGCGCATCCCGAAGGTGCTGCTGGCGGGCATCGGCGCCAGGCAGCCCGGCGGCGGTGGCGCAGCCGTCGCCCCAATTGCCGTTTCCGGCGGCAGCTTCCACCCTGGCGCGGCGCTCTTCTGCTACAGCCGCCCGCCGCCGCCGCCGCCGCCACCTGGCGCCAGCGCAGCGGCGGTTGCTGCCGCCGCCAAGCGCGCCGCCGCCGAGGCACGGGAAGCTTACGTTGCGCGGCTTCGCGATGGGCTGCGGCGGCTCGCCTGGCGGGGCCACTGGCACGCCAGGCTGGCGGTCCAGGCCTGGGCCGCGTTCGTACGGCACTGGTTGCACGACACGGGTTTGACGGCTTCGGAGGCAGCAGGGGTTTTGGTGGGCGAGTGGGATGGCACAACAACTCCACCTACGGGGGCAGGTGCTGGCGGTGCCGCCTCCACCGCCGCCGCCGCTTCCGGTGTCGCTGCGGCGGTTCTCGAGGGCGTGGGCTTGGCGGCGGGTGCCTTGTGCTTGGCGGCGGAGGGGCTGCCGGAGGCTGAGGTCAGCTCGCTGACGGCGAGGTTGCTGAAGCAGGTCTGTACGGCAGGAGGGCTGTCTAGCGGGAGCGGTGCGGGGAGTTATTCCCCCGTGGTGAGGGCGCACGTCAGCTCAGCTCCTCCCCGTCCGCCTCCGCCGCCGGAGACTGTGACGCTTCCCCCCCCCGCACCCCCCCCCTTTCCTCTTGCCCTGGCAGCAGCTTCGCACCCCCCCCCCTTTCCCTGTGCCCTGGCAGCAGCTTCAATCGTGCGTGGTTCGTCTTCCCCCCCTTTCCCCCGCCAACCCCCTGGCCCTCAGGCTCAGTCCGGGCGCTCCTCGGGTATTGCTCGTACCTCCCTGCTAGGTGCGGCCCTGGCGGCCAGCAGGCTGCACCCCACGGACTGGGCGACCAGGCTGCAGGTACGGGAGCGACCACATCAACCTGCGGGCCTGAGGGAGGCGCTGTCGGCGGCGGCTTCCAGGACTCCCGCATACCGACGGAGGGAAGCAAGTGTCCCTCCTTCCTTGTTGTTGCCTGTTATGGCCATGCAGCCGCTATCTAGCCATTATGATCTCACCCAGGGGGTGGGGGGAGGGAGGGTCATACTCTAAAAACACACACATGCACACGCGCGCGCAGGCACGGTGTGGGATATCCCCCGTCTAACACACTCCACGCTTGATGCCTCTGGACTACCACGACACGCGCGCAGTCCTTTCAATTTTCCCCTTAACCCCCCTCCCCTTAACCCCCCTCCCCTTTACTGCCCCCTTAAAAACCCCCAACCCTGCACAGGTACTGGCGGAGCTGCGGACTCAGCTGCTGGCGGGGGCGACGGCACAATTGAGAGCCGCGGCCGCCACGGCGCTGGCGGCGCTGGCGGGTAGCTTGGCGGCGGATCCCGCCATTTACATACGTACAGGTACGGCAGGTCGGTCGTCCGACGAGGTGGCCCATGCCGCTCGCGGTGTGTAGGAGGGCATGAGGGCCCTACAGGGCCTGCCGTACGTACGGGGCCTGGGAGGGGCATTCGTAGGTTCGATTGGGGGAACTTGTACGGCAGCAAGCGATAGAACTTAGGTCCGTGTTGAAGGGGAAGGTGGAGAACTGCTGCTGCTACTGCTGCTGCTACTGCTGCTGCCAGTGGAGCCACATTATCATCACCACCACCACCACCACCATCACCCAGGATCCTTGTAGCTTTTTCTTTCGTCCCTGTCTCCTTTCCTTTTTTCTCATTTTTTTCTCGTTGTTTAGCGCTACAAGAAGTTGCCTAATATGGCTACTCCAGACCATGATGAGGTTCGTTTCCCTTTGGGCCACATGCGGCTCACGTCGGGTCATGGTGGTCCTCAGACGGGGGAGGCGGTGGCGGTGGCGGCGGCGGCGGCGGTGGCGGTGGCGGCGGTCACTCCAGGGAGCTCCTGGCGGTAGCGGAGGCTGTGTCCTGCCTCACTGCAAGCCTAGGTGCGCTGTGCCCGCGGCTGGCGGCGCCGCTGGCAGCGCTCGCCGCCAGCGGCATGCCGCCGGACTGGCCGTCCCACGAGGAAGCGTCATCGTCGTACGGCAAGTTGCCGCGGCCGCTGAAGGACGAGCTGGACGATCAGGTCCTGCCGGGTACGGCAGTGGCATTGGTGAGTCTGCTGTGTGACGTCAACCGGGCGCACGGACTGCCGGGGAGTGCGCTGCCTGACCTGCTGGCGGCGTTGTTGTGGGTTGCCGGCGGCGGCGGCGGCGGCAGCGGCGACAGCTTCGGACATGCCGACGCGGCGGCGGCAGTGGCGGCGCTGGAGGCGGCGGCGCTGCTGGCGCCTGAGGTGGTCCGGTACCAGCAGGTGCAGCCTATGGAGCTCAGGTTTGCCTTCCGGACCGCCAGGACGCTGACGGGTACCTTCAGTAACGCGGCTGCTACTGCTGCTACTGATACTGCTGCTGCCGCTGCCAACACGTCGACTTGGGACGTGGGACTTCCCCAAGGCGTTGCGGATGGTCGCGTCCGCGGCGCCGCGGCGTACCTTCTGGGCTGCCTGGCGGTGGCGGCGCTGCGCCAGGGGCTGATGACAGCGGATCTGGTTTCGGAACTGAACCTGCTACCACAGCAGCAGCAGCAGCAGCAGCAACAGCCCAACGCAGGAGATGTGGGTCCGGCGGCCGTCTTTGCGCTGGTTTCGGAACTGGCTGAGCTTGCCGGCGCGGCCAACGGCGGTAGCGGCACCACTTCGTCCGCCGCCGTCGGCAGCAAGGGCCAGCACACGGCAGCGGCGCGCACGGGCGCGGTGGCGGGGCTTGCGGCGCTGCTACTGCCGCCGCCGCCCAGCCTGGTGGACGCGCTGGCGCCCCTTTCCCCCGGCTCCGCCAGTCCGGGTGTGTTCGTGTCGCGGTGTACGTCTCGTACCGTGGTAGCGGGGGGATGGCGCGGACAGCAGTGCGTGCTCGCCTGGGGGCCCCCACGGTTTGTGTTTATGGTTTTGTGCTCCGGGTTTGGGTGGCCCCATTTGGTGCCGCCCTCCACACGTCCGCTTGTTTCTAATTAAGGCACGTATGTCCAGCCCCGTACTTATCCCCCTCGCGCCTGGAGCTGCCCAGACCCACCCGACCCGGGGAGGGCGGCGGCCGCAGCGGCACACCCTAGTAGCGCACACGCACACACACGCACACACACACGCACATGCATGACTGCACGCAGGCGTGGCGTGGCGGGGTGGGGTGGGGTGGGGTGGGGTGGTGCGTGGCGTGGCGTGGCACGCACTCTTGCTCGCAACCGTATTTAAAACTGTTCCGAAGGTACGTGCTTTACAGTACCTCATCACATCATGCCGTACCCACCCCTTGTTAACTTGGTTTCGGAGCTGTTTTGACTCATCAGTCCCAGGGCTCATGGCGCTCTGGCATGCCGACAGGTCTCCTGGCGCAACCCGAGCACCTGGCGCCCGCCAAGGCTGCCGTACGAGCGCTGGAGCGACTCGCCCTGGAAGACACCGACCCGTGGGTCAGCTCAGCGGCCTCCTTCCACCTGGCCGCCATCTCCGCCGCCGTGGAGGCTGCGGAGGAAGGCGGCGAGGACGGCGTGGGTCAGTCAGGCGGCGGTGCTGCGGCAGCGGCTCTGGGCTCACCGGGTTTTGTCGGGGGTGGCTCCGGCGGCGGTCGCGGTGGGGCCGCAGTCGGCGGCGGTGAGGGCGGCCGGGGCGTGGGAGGTGCCGCTGGTCCCAAGCCCCTAATCATGTACCCACCGGAGGGGGCAGTACGGCCACTGGTGACGACGCTGATGGACAGGTACAAGAGAGGAAGGGAGGGTGGGGAGAGGGGATTGCGTACGACAGGCACGGCGACGCACCACCGAGGATAGCGGTAGTACGGCACCTGGTACGTCAGGGAAGGGCTCAGCGTGCCGTCTCGTCGCGGTGGAATTCTCCATCGTCTGCTCGCTGATGAGTAATCTGGTCATGGAACGGAACCCCGCCGGCAGCAGCATCATGCTTGTCTGTCCGTCCGTCTGTCGCTTTCCCGGTCGTGGGCATTGTTCGGGCGGATGCATTCATGCGGCTTGCATGTGTACGAAATCCGCAGCTGTTTTCATGACATTGCCATGGTTGCCCAAGGCCAGACGGACAGACGGCTGGCCTGTCTGTCCGTCTGTCTATCTGTCTGATTGTCTGCCCGTCTTGGCTTGAACCATCACCTCTCAGCCCTCGGGAAATCCCCCAACCTCGACTCACGGGGTACCCCTACTGCCCTCTACTGGCAATCGCACCAGGTCGCGACAGAGCGGCGTGCATCCGGCCTGTCTCGCGGAAACCCTCCTGGCGTTGGCGGAGGCGCCCGCCCTGCCTGCCGCGGACTGGCCCACGGCGTGTCGTACACTTATCACCACAGCGTCCTTCGCCGCGAAGGCTTCGCAGACGGCCGCGACCGGCGTGCGACTGCTGTCGGCGACGCTGCTGCTGGCTCTGGCCCACGGGTCGGTTCCCTCCCTTGGGCTGGGCTCCCTGCTCGAGGAGACCGTGGCGCCCGCGCGTTTTGCAGCTCTGCCACCTGCCGTACAAGGCCTTGTGCTAGCACGACTGCCGGCGCTCCTGCGCAGCCTGGCGGCGAAGCGCGCTGCCGCTGTCGTACAGGGGCTTCCTGGACTACTGGCGTCGGCGGCGTCGGCCGCTGCCCCCCGTGTTGGCGTTGGCGCTGGCGTTGGTGCTGACGGCAGCGGCGGCGGCGGCGGCGATGAGGGATGTCCATGGAGCTCTCCGTCTGGACTAGATGATCCGGCACTGCAGCTTCTCTGGCTACGGCGAGTCCGGCGGTCGTTGTCGGCCAGCGGTGGCGGTGGCGGTGGCGGTGGCGGTGGCGGTGGCTTCAGAGGGACGCTGTGGCTGGCGGCGCATTGCTGGTTGGGGCTGCTGGGCGTGTGTCGGGGCTGGCAGGCGAAGGATATGGCCCTTACGCACAGGTATGCGCACGTGGGTCTGCCTCTCTGTCTGTCTGTCTGTCTGTCTGTCTGTCTGTTTGTTTGTCTGCTTTCCTGTCTGCCTGACTGTCTATCTGTATGCATGTATGTATTGTATTGTATTGTATTGTGGTTACAGTATTTCCGCCGCCGACGCGGCGGGTGCCCTCACGAGCCGTGAGGCTCCAGAGCACGCTGTTGACGCTCATCAAAAACCTCAGTAAGGAAAGTAGCGATTTTCCTCGGATTGGTATTAAGAAATACCTTGCGCATATCAGTATCTTCAACGTTAATCAGAAACCTATTACGCAACTCAGTATACGCCTCACACTCCATGAGCACATGGTATTCATCCTCAACCTTACCCGACGTACAGACCTGACACGTACGGCACTCTCTCGGCCTATGGTGTCCTTTGTTGACCTCCAAAGGCCAACAACAAAGACGGAATTTGGCAACCATACGCAACTGGTTGGCCGGCAAATAAACACGCAAATAGCCTGTGGGATCGGAGCCCTCTCTTGCTGGTGAAGGGGAGCCCATCCAGTTATGATACCTGCAAAGCGAAACCCCTTTACCTTGGAACACACGCGGATCACCCCCTTGGCTGAACTGATCCCAGTCACTTAAAAGGAACGCAGATAACCTCTCCAGAACCTCACCCACTCGAATCAACTGAGACGAGTATACATCTACCTTCTGAGAAACGGAGTCACACGCCGGCCACTCATGGCCCAACCAACGCAAAATGATGAGCACTTTAGACGACCAGCAATCCACTTTGAGATCAGACAGAAGAGCCAGACGGAGATCATCTACTAACACGTCATGATAGACCGACCCACGGGACTTGACTATCTTATTCCA